AAAGATGAGGACAATAATCCGTATAATGTAAATAGTGTATATAATACCTCATCTCAGAAATATAGACAGATACAGAAGTTTTAATGTTCATATTGTCCTGAAGAGGAAATGTTCATACAACAGATTAAATGACCCGACACAAAATGATATTAAAAATGTTTAAGAAAAAGGTAAGAGAGTCCATTGCTCACCGAAGGGATATATGGTTTGTATACGTTCAAAAGTAGACGAACAGAGTTTGAAATACTTAGATTTCTTGGATTGTTGAGAGAAAATTCTTTGAAGTGCTGCGTGCTTGGTTAGAAAGCCGAACGTATAACTGGCAAGTAATTTTACACTGTTGAGTACTTCAACGTTATACTCAATGAACAGAAACGAAACCTTTCACAGGACTTTAGACAGTCCATTAATTTAATTTTTCTCCTCATTTTGTATAAAAATGAATCTCACATGGATTCGCTATTTTCTTTTCCTTCTCCTCGGCTGACAGGCTAATTTATGTGGAGGTAAGGTTTTCGTTAGTCTAAAATCAATTTCACAGAGGCTTGCAAATTCCTTTCCATATTTTTACTCCGTCATCCGAATTTAAAAGGATGACTGAGTAAATAAAAATTGCTTATTAGGATGGAAAGTTTTGTGGGACGCCAGGAACCTCTTCTTGCCACTGTCAAACAAAGAAAAATGGCGTGGTTTGAACACATTACAAGGCACGACATCCTGTGCAAGGCCATCATGCAAGTCACCGTTGAAGGTGGACGTAGGGGAGGACAACAACACAAAAAACTGATTGGACAATATCAAACAATCGACAGGTATGACTGTACCAGAATTGATGATGGCTGCCATTGATAGAGCGTTGTGGAAAAGAGTCAGTGTGGCTTCTGCATTCGGATCCGCCCTGCGATTACAAAAGTGATGTGGATGATGATGATGATGATGATTATTTTTTTTTTTCTCGCACGCATTGCACCTCTTCAAAGGTAACGGTGACAAGGGAAAGTTTTTTGAGTGCAACAGGACACAGTAAATTAGGCTTTAGTGTATATTCCTGCTTCTTCATGTTCTACGACGATATTGCATGCAGTACCAAGGAGTGGTTGAAGTGTCATCGTTGAAGTGTTAAGCAATATGTGCAATAATCACGTAATCCGGGTATGAAAACTTTGGCTGCCGGAATCGTGTTAACCTGCGACCGTGAGTTCAATCTGTGTGTAAGTTAGTGAGAAAAAAAAACAAACTCTGGTTCAGTCGGAAAAAATGCGATATAACAAGAATGAAGTGAAAAGATTTATCTCGTAAAATATATCACATAGACATCGGGATGAGAACGAGCTTCTTTTAACTGTAGTGTCCCTTCAGGGCGATAGAGATAATAACTCCCCACAACTTCCTGCCTTTTGTTAATGCCATGGGTCCTTACCTATAACTACAGAATGAACTCTTCCTAACACTATGTATACTACGCCTCTCAAGAGAGAGGGACGAATCGAGTCGAGCCTCTCGGTTTGACGGTCGAACTCTCTGCCCCTGAGCAGAGAGGAACCCGGACGAGGCTCCGCCGAAGGGCAGAGTCTCGTTCGGGGAGGTTGATCAACCCGACCCCGTTTATACGGGTTATACGGGCATTTTTTGACCGAGCCTACGGGCTCGGGAAACCCACTTTAAACTAGGCCTTGTGCCACATGCAAGCCTCGTGGGAGGGTGGCTAGATACCGAATCGAGTCGAGCCGATAGTAGTTCACTCTAAACCAGGCTGACAGTCATACTAACACCTTCCACATCTTGCATTATTATTTCGCGCAATATACCTTCGTTATTTCTACTCTTGTGTTCGTGTTGTTCTTCCTTGGTCCTAACCTGCACCATAACAGTTAATTAAATAATTTTTGAAATGTTCTGTCCTTGTCCCACATGCATTTGCTTCTTTCAAAGCGATTTTCTAATTTTAGCTTAGATGTGGCACAAGGCCAAAAGTGTGGATTACCCAGTGCCGATCGATCTCACTACTCAGTCTTAACTGAGTCGGTAAAACAAGCTTGCTAAACATTATACCACATTGAGGTGACCGATGCACGTTTTATATACCGTATTCAGGATGTGGGGGTTTTTCGCTCTTGTGACATGATCCTCTTTATTGATATTAAATATATAACCCCCATGATAAAAGTATTAAATTTTTCTTCCATTTCTTTCATTCTTTCCTTCTATTTCTTAAAAATACGGCCTTTACCGCCTTTGAATTGGTAAATCGTTGAATTGATCGTTTCATATGCAGCGTTCAATGATTGTTAATTTCATATGTAGCATTCAACGATTGGATGCATCACTACCTAATTTACTGTCATATAGGAGATTAGATATTACATTGCAGTTCAGAACTCTTTTCTTTGTCAATAAAGACATTTTCCTCTCTCTTAATGTTTTGCTTAGTTTATGAAAGAATTGATGTGATTGTCCAGCATTCACTGCCATATAGGAGATTAGATATTAATACATAGCAGTTCAGCACCCTTTCCTTTGTTTCTAATGACCTTTTCCTGTCTGTTAATACTTTGCTTAGTTTATGAAAGGCATGATGAGATTGTATATCTTTCACTGCCATATAGGAGATTAGATATTACATAGCAGTTCAGAATTTGTTTTCTTTGTTTCTAACGGCATTTTTCTATCTCATAATACTTTGCTTAGTTTATAAAAGGCATGAGGAGATTATCCTGCAATCACTGCCATATAAGAGATTAGATATTACATAGAAATTCTGCTCTCTTTTCTTTGTTAATAAAGACATTTTCCTATCTTTTAATACTTTGCTTAGTTTATGAAAGACATGAGGAGATTGTCCAGCATTCACTGTCATATAGGAGATTAGATATTACATTGGAGTTCAGAACTCTTTTCCTTGTCAATAAAGACATTTTCCTATCTCTTAATACTTTGCTTAATTTACGAAAGGATTGATGTGATTGTCCAGCATTCACTTCCATATAGGAGATTAGATATTACATAGCAGTTCAGCAAAACTTTTCTTTATTTCTAACGACATTTTCCTATCTCTTAATACTTTGCTTAGTTTATAAAAGGCATGAGGAGATTGTCCAGCTTCACTGCCATATAGGAGATTAGATATTACATAGCAGTTCAGCACTCTTTTCTTTGTTTCTAACGACATTTTCCTATCTCTTAATACTTTGCTTAGTTTATGAAAGGCATGAAAAGATTGTCCAGCATTTACTGCCATATAGGACATTAGATATTACATAGCAGTTCAGCACTCTTTTTTTTTCTAAAGGCACTTAATATTTTACTTAATTTATAAAAGGTATGTGGAGTTTGTCCAGCATTCATTGTCATATAAGAGATTAAATATTACATTGCATTTCAGCCTTATTTTTTATGGCCAAGGAAATATTGCTATCTCTTAATACTTTCCTTAGTTTTTGAAGGACATTTTTCGCTATGCCTATGTGTCTTCAAATTTCAGCGTAACATTTGCCATTGTCTTTTAGTTAACAACCTAAATATTGGAATTTTCGTACCTGCTTTTTCGCGTCGTCAATAAGTACCTAAATAAATATCTGCTGTAAAATAAAATCCTCAGATTTGCCTTGATAATGTCCGTGAGAGGACAAAACGAGTCGGATAATATATATATTTTTTTATTTATATTGTCCTTTTACAGACACATTGTAGTTATATCTTAAATTCATATATATATATATATCTATATATATATCTATATATATCTATATATATATATATATAAATATATATATATATATATATATATATATATATATATATATATATATATATATAAAATATGAAATTATATGCAGATAATACGTATATCATTGAGGATTTTATGTCAGTGTAAACACAGACAAATAGAAATTTATTGTTCTGTTTACAAATAATCTCATTTATATATATATATATATATATATATATATATATATATATGAGTGTGTGTGAGAGAGACACAGAGAGGGACACGAAAACTGGGGGGGGCGGAGAGGCCGAGGTGCTCCCCTTTGTAATTTTCTCTTATTACTTTGGCTAATCGTCTTTTTGGCGCCATCTATCCGTGGGGGCAAAAATGGTCTTTGTCCGGTTCTCTCAATCAATGGATTCAGGCCTTTTGCATATCCCGCCTAAAATCCAGTCAAAGACTGACTTTATTTCCTTAATAGCTGCCAATTGACCTCATTGCTGACTCTTCCCCAATAACGCCTTTACCCGCTATCCAGACCCGGGTCCTTCATTTCTTGTTATGGTTCGAATGTGGAGACCCATGTTAGCAACAAAGGCGCCGTTACGAATGTTGCCGGTTCAAAAGGCAAATCAAGCGAGAATATAGGGAGAAGCTCAGCGGGAAAAAATGCAAAAAAAACAAAACAAAAAAAAACTCTTTTAAACAAAACTATCAAGAAAAATGTAAAACATAGAGGATTTTGTCTTAGCTATCTCGGATTTTACAAGTAGAAATTGTGCAACAAAATATGAAAACATACACACTTTAATCTACGCATAATCCCTTACTTTATCTCTCCATCAACTTCATCCGGATCTCCCGAAATCACAGTCCAGAAGCATTTCCCCCATATCGATTTTTTTCTGTTATTATAATTAGCGAGACTTACAGCACCTGATATTCCCCAGCGGTCACCCATCTGAGTAACGAGGTTCAACATTGCTTACCTTTGGAGATTGGATATGAACTAAGTACATAACCACCTCCGCATATCAAAGACTTCTGCTAGTATAATTAGAGAGATCGTATTCAACGCCAGCTTGCTAGGCCGGTCCGCTACCGTAAAGTACCTGAAAATTCCCCAGAGGTTACCCACCTGAGTACTGACCAGGATCAACATTGCTTAACTTTGGAGATTGGACGAGAAATCCGCCCAGAAGTACATCCGAGGCATATCGAGGCTTTCTGCTAGTATGAGTAGTGAGATTATATTCATCGCCAGCTTGCTAGGCCTCTCGAGTATGTATCGTACAGCACCTGATATTCACCAGTGGTCACCCATCCGAGTAATGAACAAGCTCAACATTGCTTAACTTTGGTAATTGGATGGGAACTAAGTACAGAACCACCTCCACCTTCGATGTTTTTATTAGTATAAGTAACGAGATTGTATTCATCGCCAGCTTGCTAGGCCTCTCGAGTAGCTGGAAGCACCTGATATTCCCATCTGAATACTGACTAGGCTCAACATTGCTTAACCTTGATGAGTGACCGAGAACTGTAAGTTTAGATGCACCTTCACATATCGAGGTCGTTTAAGTAGTAGGATTGTATCTGTCGCCGGATTGGTATGCCTTTACGCATCACGATCGCGAGACCCGCACCCCATTAGTGTCGTAGGGGCAACTCGTGTACCGCAGCCGCAGTAGCAGTGATGTCTCCTGACGGAGCCTAAACCTCTCCAGGCTGGTTTGAATTCAGAATTCTTCCTCTTTTAAGACTAGTCGCCATACAAGTCTAAAGGACCCATCATATTCTGCTATTTTACCCATAGCTGGAAGAGGATGCATTCCTACCTTTCCCAAGGTTATTGGCACGTAAGTGAATTTAATGAACCCGACTAGAATTCGAACTTGGAAACTCCGATTCCTCGACACGAGTCGAGCTAAATGGATAGTTTGTTTATTCACAAGAATAATTTTATATTTACAGCATTCTAAAAACTAAACAATTCCAAAACAGTGTGTTGTTTACCGCCCAAAAAGAGGTTAAATTTCCTATCGTCGTCTTGGGTCCAGATATTTAACCAAAATTTAGGAAGTGGTAGAACGGATTAAAAAATTTAATAAAATAATAAAGATTTTATGACAAAACTTTGGTTTTATAAAAATGGTGTCTTTTTCATAATGCTATGCTCTTTTTAACGATAAAAGTGGAGGTACCTACAATAATTAGAACTACTGCAATGCAATATTTATCATTTACCAATTTATCTTATAACTATAAAATTCTCAAAATGTGTATGTGTATGTATGTGTGTGTGTGTGTGTGTGTGTGTGTGTGTGTGATCGGATGCTGTTTATGCGTTTCAACAGTCTTCATCCGATTTCGATGAATATTTTTTTTGTTTGATAGATAATTCTTCAGTGCTGGTTTTGAGTCCAAATTGGCTGGAAAAAACTACAACCTTGAAGGTGAAAAATCGAAAAAACTGATTTTTTACACTTTGCGCAAAAATCAAAGGCAAAATGCCTGTAAAAACAGCGTACAATCGATTTAGAGAGTTGAAGTTTAACGCAAAAGATTATTAGAATTATAAAAAAAACATTGTATTATAAATAAAAATTATCGTATATTATTATTATGACGGTCCATGGAAGAGGTTCCTTCCTTGGAAGATTGAGAACGCAAAGACGACCCTTTCCAGGACCACCCACCCATTCAAATTGTTACCTCCCCCCCCGCATTTGGGGATGTGTCTCAGTTGCACCCAACTGTTGTTATTAATACTGATTTTCGGGTGGGCTGAGTTTAAACTTAAACTGCTGCAAATGAACGGCAAAAATTCCCAGTAACACGCGGTCGAAGATCGGTTATACCGCCAGTAAAGAAAGAAATATATAAACAATTTTTATTCATAAATTTATAAACATTTACTAAATTATTAAAATATGTGAATAAACAATAAGGAAATCCTTATTATTTACCATTTTATAAAGTTTGACTGATTGAACCGTTTTTCCCAATCATCCTAGTAAATAAAATCTTAAATAAATGGTGTAAATAAAAAATCAAATAAGTAAATTTTGTTTATTGTTTTTGTTGCCAATTTCCAAGAACAAAGAAAATATATAAATTTGCTTATATATGTTTAGGCTTTATTAAAATTCTAATCATCAATTTTTAAAGCAACAAACATTAGCGAAGAGTGAAGGCAGTTAAAAATACGGTGTCAGGGGAAATCCCGTCCTTTTTACACATCGTCTTATTGAGGGCATGTATATCCATATTTGCCCACGATCCTTAATAAAAAGATAACATAGGAATTTGCTATTTCAGAGAAGGTTTGATTAGTTATTTTTTATTTAATATGCTGCCTAATATATTCCGAACATTGGAAATTTTTATATTTTGTTGGAATTAGGTTTTATTTCGAATCGTTTTGTTCTTGGTAATGTAAAAAGTTTACATTGTTTATATCATTACATTCACTTGTAGTTACATATGCCACCGATTTGGTTATTGTTGCTTTTGGAAATCATAAAGTTGTTTATTTTTCTTATTTCGTAATGCTGTTTGTGATTTCAAAGAGCAAATAATTTTAAAATAAAACAATATTTGAAATCATTTCACCCCAAGCAAGGTGACTAAGCCACTAAGATGTAAGGGGTTACTGAGTACTGTGTGCAAAAGAATCTGGTAAAAAAAAAAGAACAAAAAAACATTGTTAGGGACTGAGGATAATAAAAGAAGAAGAATTAAGTAGGTAGATAGATGACGGCATTTAAATTTTAAAGATTTTTTAGTGGACAGGAAAGCAGAAAGCCGGGAGAGAGTTCCACAAGGGAGAAGTGCGAGAGAAGAAACTCTTAACATAGAACTTTCGATTATATCTCAGTTAGTTATGAGCTATGCGTGATACACGCCTAGGCAATCATGTATCTTTCGATATATGGCTAACGAGGCATATTTTTTCACCGCAGTAGGTTGCTATTTCTTTCTGCGTTTTTAGTGTGGGAAGCTTGATTTTCTTATTTTTAGTGTAAAAAGGTTGATTTCATTATTTTTAGTGTGGAAAGCTTGATTTTATTATTTTTAGTGTAAAAAGGTTGGTTTTATTATTTTTAGTGTGGAAAGCTTGATTTAATTATTTTTAGTGTGGAAAACTTGATTTTATTATTTTTAGTGTGGAAAGCTAGATTTTATTATTTTTAGTGTAACAAGCTTGATTTCATTATTTTTAGTGTGGAAAGCTTGATTTTATTATTTTTAGTGTAAAAAGGTTGATTTTATTATTTTTAGTGTGGAAAGCTTGATTTTATTATTTTAGTGTAAAAAGGCTGATTTTATTATTTTTAGTGTAAATCAACGTTCAGCTCACACTTCTCCCCGTTCTTTTGAAGAAGAGTAGATGTTTATCCCTTGTTTCATGTTTACGATTGGGTTTCCTGTCCATTCTAAAATCTTTTTCCTTTTCGCCACTCCCAATAGCCCCTTACGTCTTAGTGGCATTATCACCTTTTTGTGGGTAAAGATAAAAAAAGGAAAAAAACATAACATTTGACTTTGTACTTTTTCTGCCATCCATCAAATTCTACTTTTATGCATCGGTTTCCTTCAAGATATGACCGATCATGGCTCTCCACGACATCCTGAATTTTGTACCTTTACCAAATGGCCTTGTTCTGCAATCTATTGCTATAAGGTACATTATTCGCTGTATTCATAGAGCTTTTAGAGTACCAGTACAAAATGAAGGTTACTTGAAACAGCAGCTGCAACTGAACTGGATAGCGTACTGAGAAGGGAAAACATGATATAATAAAAATATTGACTACATCACGGAAAGATTTTAAAAATTTCAATCGAGGGTAAATCGGGTCAATGGATATCGAATGTTTCCTGTATGAAACGGCGAGAATCTATATTTAAAATCGATAAATCTATATCTTAAATCGAGTTCACCCAAAGCAAGGCAGTAAACTAGCACAAAAGATGGCTACTGGGTTTGGAAGAATTAGAAAACAGAAATATTACCAAGGAGCGATAAAATAAAAAATAAGTAATCAGGAAAACAGTAGATAGCGATTGACATTATATTTAAATTTTTGAAGATCAAAGTTGGCTGGAAGGCATCTAGCCAGTCCATCTGTAAATTAGTGAGATCTCGATGCCAGTCTCGCACTACACTTAAATTCAAAAAATCTTTGTGCCATAGAGAAGATCTAATCCGAACAATTACCATGAAAGTATTTATAGAATAGGAGGTGGGAAAATGATTGAAGTCGAGACGTCAGATCAGGACCAATAATATGGCTGATTCTTCTTTGGATTCTATCAAGGAGCTCTAGATGACTATCAGGAGCATCGGGCCATATGTGGCAGCAATATTCTAAGCATGGGCAAATACTAAACTTATGAATATGTAAGATAGATTCTGGAGAGAAAAATTGTCGTGCCCGACACAGTGAACCAACTTTCTTAGCAGCTGACCAAACAACAAATTTTATATAGTCTTTCTATTTCGTTTCCAGTTTATAAATTTAGCCCAAGAAGGCGGCTCCATAGGAAAATGCAGATCTGAAGAGTCTATCTAAGAACATGTTTTTTCTAATAAGGTCAATATTTTGGATTTGCAGCCTTTTAAAAGAAGACTGAAACTACGAAGGTGCATTGGGATAGCGAAAGATGCCTTCCGAAAGCTAAGCAAAGTATTAAGAAACAGGAAAATCTCTTTAGAAACAATAGAATTGTTACGTAATATTATTACTCCTTTATGGCAGTGACTGCTGGACAATCTCCTTACAGATGCAGTAGAAACTTGAAGCAACGGATATGCGTTTCTACAGAAGGATGCTGAGAATACCATAGAGCAAACTTGTGATCAACGATAAAGTTTTAGAGAAAATGGAAACAAAGAGGAGACTTATATTTTACATCAGGAAGAGACAGTTGAAATTTCTTGATTACATAATGAGGAAAGTGGGCCTAGAAATTATAATACTCACAGGAGAGATTGAATGCAAGAGTGACAGAGGAAATCAATGCACAATGTACCTAATAATCTTGTATATATAACAGGAAGATTAATTATTAAGATCTAAAAGGGAGAGGAAGTTGTAGAGAGCCATGGACACAACACATAGAAGAAGAAGAAGAAGAAGAAGAAGAAGAAGCATTTTATATTGTACAATGTATCGGGTGTTCAATTTCTTTGTCATTTATGGTATACCTGTTATAACAGACTAATATTCATAGTTGTTTACCCAAAGGTTTTGTTAAGAAGGTGAATAATAAAATTATTATGCAGCGTGTATCCCAGTTTAACACAGTTGAAATAAATTGCCTAATCATATTGCACGTGTATATTGAAAGACACCGAAGTTGTATTATACGTTAGCCCTTCTGTGTGTCTAGCAAAACCAGGACACGTGTTCCTTTATATAAGGAATCAGCGAAGTGATGAAATATTTCTATTGGATCCTGAGGCTAAGGATTAAAAATAAACTGCCAAGAGACATCAGGACACCGATTCGCTTATCGGTAAAACCTGTCTGTTCATTTGAAAAGACTTCACCGGACCGTTAAGAATATATTGTATATTGTTGTCTCATATTTTATCAGTTTCGTCTGAGGACTGGATTGTGATAGAAGACAATTAATCTTTTGACATAAATTGGATTATCCGAGTAAAGAAAAGTTGTCGCCATCCCGGTTTCTCATTAACACACACACACACACACACACACACACACACACACACACACACATATATATATTATTTAATATGCGCAGTACTGAGTGGAAAGTGCTCAATATCAGTGACAGAGCTAACATTCAGTTGTATGTATATGCGTTTGTGACCTTGGGTTTTACGCTTTGCGATCATGATACAAACTGGCTTATTTTTTTTTTTAATTTGAATCTATTTATTCTTCTTTGATTATGTTTGGTGGAGGGGGATTCCCTTCTGTGTTTGTTTGGGATGACACTCTCATACACATAGACACACGTGTACCCATTTTAGTGTACGCAAATCGCAAAAGCGTGAAACCTAGTGTCGCAAATTTTTTTCTTAAACTGAATATTTATATATATATATATATATATATATATATATATATATATATATATATATATAAATATATATATATATAAATTAGAAAAAAAAAGAGTCTATGTGTGCTTCATATAGTAGAGTAGATTAGTTGGTTAATAAAACAAAGTCAAACGAAAGGGTATCGATATGATCAGTACAAAAAATATTTATTAATATTAACCACGTGTAGTCAGTACGAAATACAAAACACAGGCGTGTTCGAAAATTCTGAACTTGGAAACTCAATCTGTGCTTTATTTTTGTCACGTGGTTAATATTAATGAATGTTTTTTACTGATTACATTGGTACCCTTTCGTTTGACTTTGTTTTATTGACCAACTTATCTAATCTCTCTCCCTCTCTCTCTCTCTCTCTCTCTATCTATCTATCTATCTATTTATCTATCTATCTCTTTATCTATCTATCTATCTTAATCGGTATCACCTCTAGCAAGGTATTAAAGCCACTAAGAAACAAGAGATTACGAGGAGTGGAAGAATTAGAAACAGAAACATCGCTAACAAGCAAGAACAAAAAGAAGATCAGTAGATAACGATTGACATTGCATTTAGATTTTTGACGATTAACGTTCGCTAGAAAGCATGGAGCCGGAAGGGATTTCCCCAGGCGTGAAGTTCTAAAAAAGAAACGGTCAGCATAGAACTTACGGTTACATCTAGAGCAGCCCAACTGTAAATTGATGCGATCTCGACACCAGTTTAGTACTGCGCTTAAATTCACAGAGTCTAGGTACAATAGCGAAGAGCTCATCCGAATAATTACGAGGAAAGTAAAAGAAACTTTACGGCGGTAGCCAAATGACTGAAGCCGAGTCGCCAGATCAGTATCAGTAATATTGCAGATTCTTCTTTGGATCTCATATATATATATATATATATATATATATATATATATATATATATATATATAAAAACAAATATATAAAGTTATCGAAGCCTGTCACGAAATTGGACGTTCAAACAGAAATGCATTTTGCGTACTCCGCGATTTTTTGGGTCAACATAATCGACCAACCAAGAGTACAATTGGAATTGCTGTAACGTTGTTGTGGAGACGTTCAATTACTGCCGGCCATGACGAATAGAGGTGTATGGATTTTCGGCCATGTTCTCTTGCACTACAGCAATGTTTTCAGCTGAACGGCGTAAATGAGACCGCAATGGTGTTTTCACATCTACCACGGCAGTTTGTTCGAATTTACGAACAATTTTCACAATTGCACTTTTGAAACTATAACACGTTGATTGATTGTTCATCTTTCCATGGTTGAAATTGCAAAAGTAAAAAAAAAAAATCATTAGACGCTTAAAATTAATTCACATTTAAAATCGGTCCAAGTTATTGGAACACCATATATATATATATATTAAGAAATGGACAAAGTCCGACAATTTATTTATTAAAGGCATTTTTATGTTTAACGTTCTTTTTTATAGATACAAGTATTTAAGTAAATGCTCTGTTTATAATAAACAGTATTAAATAACATTTACCGGCCTGAATGTCCGAGAAATTTTCATAGAAAATATTCGTTCTTTGACAGGATTCGAACCTGTATCCTATACGGAAACTTCATCTACGCTGACGTGCCTTACCGATCGGCCACAAAGAAGCGTTTGGTGGATAAGGTCGAATTTACTGCTTATAAACTTCAATCTTCCATGAATCTCGTACATTCATAACTGCTTTGTCCATTTCTTAATATATGACGTCATTTGTTTACATTTGATACGCCAGAGCATTTACTTAAATACTTGTATCTATAAAAAAGAACGTTAAACATAAAAATGTCTTTAATAAATATATATATGAGACGCATTTCGGTAGCAAGAATTATCTCAGATATGTTTTGTTAAAGAATATGGACAAGTTTTATCAATTTTGTTATTACTTATTTCATAATTATTCAAATATATTCTGAAACTTTTAAACTTATAAGGAAATTTGAAACATTTAATAAAGACATTGACATAGAGAACTTGTCCACACACACACGCACACACATGCACGCGCACACACACAAACACACGCACACAGAATTTTAAGGTGGCAATTTAAAAAAAAAGAAGCTTACAGCAATCAAAACAATATTTGCAACCTGTATTATTTTTTATTGTATTATTTTTGAAAATAATAATGCAGCGTTCTTTAGTTTAAAAAATAAATAAAAAGCGTTAAGAAGAGGTTATTTGATATATATATATATATATATATATATATATATATATATATATATATATATATATATATATATATATATATATATATATATATATATATATATATATATATATATATGAAAAGGGTGAGAATATCCGATTGATGTCGAATCGGTCGGGTTTCGATCTCGGCTGGAAGCAATTGCATGTCTAGCCACAATGATCAGCTGTATGTAGATGATTATATATAAATATATTATTATATATGTATATATATATATATATATATATATATATATATATGCAGAGGGTGACCGAGAGTTTGAGCGTGCTGGCCTTGCTCAGATTGTTGATCACGCTCGCTAACGCGTTCTCTCCCAGAAGCTGTAACTAATGTCTACTCGGCAATATAAAACCACATATCAGAGAGAGAGAGGGAGAGAAGGAGAGAGAGAGAGAGAGGGAGAGAGAGAGGGAGAGGGAGAGGGAGAGAGAGAGTATGCTGAAAACCACGATGGCTGCTATTTTATAAAGTCTTCGATTCAATGGTCCAATGAGAGCCACATGAGGGGCACCGCGGGATTCATTGGCAGAAAAGTTTTGATTTCTGCTATAAAACGTAACAGTCGTCGGTATCGACGACTCAATTTCTCACAAAGGCCGTGACGCACAAACTGGGTTTAATAAATACCCCCTTTCTTGAAATATCGACAATAGCAAGACTTGAAAATGGGCTTCAATCTCGGAAATTTAACGTTGTAATCAAAAGGCCGTAAACTGTTCATGTATACTTCTAGTTATTATTATTTTGCCAACAAAGTGACTCTTCAGTACAAATATACGAGGCCCTGGTACACCAGTCAATGTATCACAGCCAAATGTTCGTGATAGGGTGGCAGGTTTCGTTAATAGTAACGCATAATCATTCAGGGCGTGCCCAAATAGAAAGGTGTTTGACGTCCCCAAAACATAGCTCAGAACTTATATTGTCTCTTTTACTGACAACCATTCACGATTGATAGTTTGTCCTTTGTTGCTCTCCTTTACAGTCGTATTCGAAGGTTCATTCAGCTTTCTTTGTCGCCATGTGAAGTCTGCGTCTGTTAGTAATAAATCCTGGTGTGTGTTTGATTACAATGTCTAAAATAAGTGCTAAAAGCATCCAGTTAATGGTTCATGCGAACGTCTTTAGACTGCTAAGCATATTGATTCTCAGTTACCGTTTTCTGACACGACAGTTTATTACAACACCGCTACAAGTGACATTTCACTTATTTCGGCTAACCGAGATACTTATAACGATTACTTTGTTACTTATGTAATTGATGCACGAACTATTGCTTGTGTCGCGTCTCAATAACTGTAAGTAAAATGATGTACTAAGATAAGTAACTACACCCTTGTGCAAATTAATTGAAACAAAATAATTCCGTTATTATTTACTTTTTATCGGATTTTTCAATGGAAAATGCCCCATTGCACATGTTAGTACTTCGTATGTCCATTCCACGAAGTCGTTCCTTGCAGATTGACCACAGATTCTAAATTGGATTTAAATCAGGAGTTTCCAAGCCAGTCGATGGTACTTGCTCATTAATAAGGCTAGCCAGTGTGTTCATGCAGTGTTACAATTTTCGTACGCTACCTTGGAGTAACATCCATCGCAGACAATGGCCGTAGGACAACTAATCGATAATTGAGACAATAGTGTCTGGGTGTGATAAAAATCTGATGTAATCACGGATGAGGCAATATTTTTCAAGGCCAGATAAATTTTCATCATACACTCCGTAAATAGATTCATATTACTGAAAATGCCCTTATCTGAGGAAAAATAGAAATCGATTACACCCTCTCTAGTGGTACTGAGACTGACCGTATGGTGAAAGAAAGGAAACAAAATTGGTTGATTCAAATAATTTGTACAAGGGGGTAAGTAATCGTTTTAAGTTTTCTGAATATCGGTGACGTAAAACAATTACAGATAGTAAATATTCGAGGAATATTTAAAAAAATGCTGATGATAAAAGAATCTGAAGTGTAAAATGTCTGGCATTATATGACCAACCTATAAATGTCGCTGAGCCCCTAAATGCAGTTAATTTAAAAAAGTGCTGTTTATCAAATAAATCCCATTTTATGCGTTTTTAACAAAAGAAGCAACTGCCGGGTAGAATCCAAAATCTTTTATATCAACATGAATGAGTTAATGAATATCCCTGTCACGTGACTCCATTAAACGCAATCACGAAACCGAGAACAAAGACCCATCCAACTGTTGTGGTTAACGAGCTGTAGAAAAAAAAATCGCTGGTGATTGGTCACCCTTTGTTAAACATCCAGTTGCAGATACATCTGTTTTTTTTATCATTGAAAAGATATGAAGAAATGAAAAAAAATTATGATGCCGATCGTGTGTTTCGAATAAATATCAATACGTCCTTCCATATTCTTTGAGAGGAAAAAAAAAAAAGAAGGGGAAAAACCGGTTTAAATTCCCTTGTTGTTATTCCATAGTAGCGATGTTTCCTTGGATGCGGCAGGGACAGATCAGGCACAAGGGGGTGGGTGACCATTATTCTTTAAAAAAGGAAAAGAAAAAAATGTATGAAGAAATAGAATAATTAAAAAAAGGACATCCCTTAAAATAGCTTGAAAGAAAAGCGTAAAATTGCAGGCCCCTTTAAGAAGTATTTTATGCTGTTATTTATAAATGTTATTTTATAATCTTGCAATCAAACATTAAAATTATCCATGGAGGTTTAACTCGATGGAGATAAGGCCTTAGATGGACATTTTGCTCAGGTTCTTTCAAGAACATTCGATTCGTATTTCAATGTTGGGAATACGATTAGCACAAGATGTGAACAGAGAGGAATTTTTAAGGAATACTCGAACGATAAGGAAATTAATAATGAAACACCAGTTCCCGTACAATAAGCAAAGTTAAGAAACATTGAGCCTGGTCAGTGTCTAAATGGGTGACCGCTTGGAAGTACCATGTGCTGTAAGCTTGCATCATCGGGTAGTGTAATGGATAATGGCTAGGAACTGTTAATCGGGGGAGACGAGTTTCAATTCCCGTTGGGTTCATTATGTTCACTTACGCGCAAATACCCTTGGGAAAGGTATGAATCCAGCTCTTCACCCTCAGCTAAGGGTTAATTAGTAAGACTCCTATCACTGAAAAAATCATTATTGCCCCCCCAAAAAAAAAAAATCGTAAAAATATTTAGATTTCGGCATAACCTATACAG